AGAGAGAGAGAGAGAGAGAGAGAGAGAGAGAGAGAGAGAGAGAGAGAAAGAGCGAGATGTGGAGAAAGACAGGAAAAAAGCCGTGACTAGACGTACAGTGACACAATGTGAACGGTATTGCATTATATTGTGAGAGCATGAATTCGTTTTTGGATATTTCCATGTGGCTACGATAATAATAATAAAAAAAGTTGCAGCTTATAGCTGTCTGCTATTGCGGATGACACAAAAGAGCTGAACTCTCAAATGAAGAAGTCACACATAGTCGAACATTAAAGACACCACCATAAAGATATAATGCGACACAATTTTTTGTTTCGCCTTCATCCATTCTGAATTCTAGAAATATATTTATTACTACGCGACTTGAGTCCATTCCGCAATTTATTCGCTTCAGCTTCTTATGTGCGACAACAAATCTTTCTTGCTTAAATGCTTCCAACTCCTTTTATATTCCCTTTTGCCATATTTTTTCGTCTTCGATGCTGCTGCTGCTGCTGCCGCTGATATTTTAGAACACGGAACCGAATCGCACACGGTTCGTGTGCAATAAACATTGCTTTTTTCTGCATTCTCTCTCTCCCCCTCGATTTTGCTGTCTTTCATTCGCATTCGCTCACCGCAACCGAGACGCTATGCTTCGGTCGCGAGATCATATGTAAATTGAGATTGATAATTTCAATTTTTATTTTTGCTTGCTTTTGTGGTTACACTATACACTCACACATTAATTCTGGCACGTTGCTCACGTTGCACAACCAAGTGGACATTTGCCCCAATGTTGTTTTGCACTGTTATACAACTGGACCAGAATAATCCATTTTTTGTTAGAATTTCTGAAAGAAGAGCGAAGGAAAACGGAAAAAATACAATCGCAGTGTTTTCAATAACAATAAATATTTACTCTCTTGTTTCAGAGTGACGACCGGCCTACACAAACGCATAATCAAGAAAAAGGCGCTGGTAATTTTCTGAAATGGTGCAATAACAGCAACAAAACAAAAAATAATGTAAAAGAATTCAGTACGAACAAAGTGGAAAACAATTGCTAACGCAAAACACTCTGATCAAGTGAATTACAAAAGTCAAAACGGGGAATAACAAAAATCAACAAAACAAATTCGAAAAAAGAAGCCAAGAACAACAATAACAAACAGCAAAAAAAAAATAGCGACATGTTGAAATTGTTCGCCTATTTTGTTTTCACACTTTGTTTGCATTTAGTTCGTCCGATGGTGTCGATAAACGACACACGACCCGACGTTCAGCGTTCATTCGTTCGGCACAATTCACATTTGCATCATCATCATCACCAGCATCAAAATCATCAACTAATACCAACGAATCGTTATAACCCAAACAGTAAGTTCGATATATTCGATATATATATATATGCAAAACGATTGCTCTCCTTCTGTCTCTGTCTCACCGTCTCACTGTCTCACTGTCTCACTGTCTCACTGTCTCAAATCAACACTTTTTGATACATCTCATGGGCTCAGTTCCATGGCAGGGTGTGATTTTTATAGTAATTTACATGTTTTGTAATAAAATCAAATTGCTCTCAGTTTCATGATGAAGCAAAAATGATATTCTGCTCTTTTCACATAACAACAAAGATAAAAACTAATTCTACAAAAATTAAACTGAAACCATTTTTTTCTCCATTCACAATCTTGATAATAATACGAAACACAACGAATCAAAACAAATACACATAAAAATTGCTTTGTCGAAAATGACGAAATTAATAAAATTGCAATAATTTGCCAAATAAAAAGCGCGTACAAAAAATCGCATCGATGTTTATACGACGGAATCACGGACATGGAATTTATACCATAATGCACACGATGCTGGCTATGGTAACAGCAACAGCAACAGCAACAGCAACAGCAACCGTAATCGAAATAAAAATAAAACGCAAACGGAACGATTGCCAAGTGTGAATACAAAATTGCAGTCGATAACATCGAAATCACCGACTAAATCGTTGACCAATCCATTGAAATTGACGCTGATCCAAACGAATGGCCATTCGTTTGTGGCAAATAATTATCCAGATGCATTTAATACGCATCGTTGGCCCATTGCACCCCAATCACCGTCAACGGACTACGATATAAAATGGAGAACAGCCAATAATCCATTTGCATTGCATTCTAATCCAGGCATCGAATCAGTTCCAATTTCAACGGCTCCACCGATGTTAACAACAACAACAATAACCGCAGCAACAGCAGCAGCAGCTACGACAATGACTCCGATGACGATGCCAACGGCTAAAGTGTATCGAGCATTCACTGAGCATCGAATGCATACGAAGCATCATCAAACAGGCATTGGGTATGTCAAAAATTCGTTTCTCGTATTTTGCTATGATATCGTATCAAAGAAGAAAAAAATCGCAACCAAATCGTTTGAATTTTCGCACTATAATTTAATTAAATCGACAATTTGATCCTCTTACATTCATGTTTAATATTCTTGTAGCGTTTTTCGTAACGAAAAAACAGTGAGCAAAAGAGACTGGAGCAGATAAATTATGACTTTGTGTGTTGTTGTTTTTTTGCTTCGTTTAGCCTAATAATAGTAGTTCATATATCAAAATGATGTGTACGAATATCGAGTTTAAAGTGCTCAAATCAATGAATGAGCATTTATAGCCGTTGTTTTGTTGGTGGAAATTTGAAAATATTTCTGTGCTTTGAAGCGATACTAACTCGGCTCACATATTTTTGATAGATAATAACAATGTGTTTCACTCGAAAATTGCCTATCAAAATAAAATCCCAAGCCCTTAATACTTCAAATCGATTGGTGGTGCCCATTTTTTTCCATCGCTGTTAGTATCAATAATTAGTGTGTTTTATGTGTTTTAGTTGCGAATAGTTGTGTCTTTACACCGAAAAAAAGCAACACCCGTGGAGTGAACAGTTCCATTGACGAAATGAACTGTTGTAAACAAAATCGTTTCAAAGATAAAATTATACGCACCTTCAGCACACTTCGTTTGGTGTGTGCCATAATGTTTCGGAAGATAAGGAAATCGATGAACCCTAAACAAGAGATCAATATGCTTCCAGACGCTTCAAAGTGCTAATATAGATAAATATCTGTGAAATAAATAGGTTCAGCGCACGAACGTAAGAGAAAAGCGAAAGCGAGGAAGAAAGATACGCAAAAAGGAAGAGAGAGGCAGAGAGAAAAAGTTAGCAAACCATTCTACATTTGTTAGCTGTTGTGTCGACAGTATGCGATGCAGCTGAAGCAACAGCAGCCACAGCAGAATATCGAAGTTTTTAGTACAAATTTTAACACTTTACGTATTTACGCTCAGCATGCATTCGTCACTTTATCGTGTTTATTAAAGTAATTTTAAGTTATCTAAGTGAAAGTTCATGCAATCCAGAAACAATTACTGGGATCAATTACCATTGGTGTTTGTATGGTGTGTGTGTGTGTACAAAATCGGAAGAATGAACGGATGACTTATTGACAAGATGAAAATGGATGCGTGCGGCGATATGTGTCTGTCTACCAAAATGCCTTCGAGTCGATTTCTCGACAATGTTATTTCAATACATTCTATACTTTTCGGATCGCAGTCAATTATCAAATTATTGGCGTATATATTCTCGATATGCTGTTCAATGGCTCAATGTGCCTGTAGCCAACCCATTGTAGCGATGAAGGAAAGCTGAATTGTTGTTTCAATTGATGCTCGGCATTGTAACGGCGCAAAAACCGAACTGAAAAAAAGCACATGATAAAATCGTCCATGGATAATCAAAACATGGGTATGCTCATATGAAGATCGCCTCTTGAATGAATCGAGAATCAAGAGTGCAATTGTGTTTGTGCGCCCTTTTTACTCTCTTAAAAAATCGTTTAAGTCTTTTTTCGTTCACGGTGCGCTCTTGATTCTTAGCGAATGTTTTGTTTTAAATTATTATGAAGGGGAAAATGTGAAAGAAATTTGTGCACCGAACGAGCAACAATAGCAACAGTATTAACCGAGCGCTTTGAATAAAGTGAAGCCAGGCATAGCCTTTGCATAGAAAATACTTTGCATGATCTCAGTCCCCAAGCATTATTTCGAGTGAGTACCTATACCATAAAGGCGTTGTGCTATTTAAAATGAAACATTATCGACTTCAATAAATAGCTAAATTGCTCGAGAAAAAAAAACGAGTATAATATGAGAAACGCGAGAAGATGATGTGTTATGCCGACAACACTGATAGTGTCGCTTTTGTGTGAATAAATGTGTTTTCGTGCAGTTTTACGACAATCGATGTCGCACTCGCAACGACACAAGCATACACACACACACACACACACACACGTGCTCACAGTGTATCGGCGCTCTGCTCTCTACACAACAACCGATCAGACTTATCGATTTATTATTATTGGATTGATTTTGATTCTTCCTCTCGCATCTCTTAAAATAATTGCTCAACTGTAAATACACTTGAAAGTTCATGCGTGTGTGTACGAGTGAATGAGTGTAAGTGTACCGAAAGAGAGCTGATAAAATTATATCACAAACAATGAAAATATCCTCTTCAATGGATCGTCTTCTCCATTTTTCCTCTGCCACTGTTGCTGTTGTGTGTAGGGCAATTGAAAGAGAAATGTAGTCGACGAATGTTTTTCGCTGCACGGTTTCCTTTTTGCTCAAGTGCAGAAGAGAAGCGAAAAAAAGCACGCAATGTCAGAGAATAATAAGGCGAACCAAATCTCGGACGGTCTTCACGGTCATCATATAAAATGATATTTAAAGAATACAGACAGAAACTCGAGTGTTGGTGGAAACAGACTCAAAATTCGTATTTACTTACCCTCCACGAAGTTATTTAAAAAAAAAAACGAGAAAGAAAATAACGAAATCCTCTGACGATTTGGCATCACACATTTTTTCTTCTTTATCTCTTTCATATTATACTTTCGATTTCACGATTGGATACGGGGACGGCAACAATGCTTGCATTTGCGTTAAATACGAAACATTTTCATCGCTCATAGAATTTGTCCAAGTGCAATTGTGTCAGCAATGAAACCGAGTGAAATAAAAAGAAATCAAACCCGAAAAAAGAGAAATAATTCAAAGCGAGCGTAAAATATACGCGAAAAAGCAAAAAAAAACGAAACATTCAAAAATAAAGACCTGCAGCGGCCAAGGAAAAAAAAGAAAAAAATAAATAAATTCACACACATAAATGATTTCGCTTGATTCATCTGCTACGTATAAAATGCGCGAATTATATCGAGATGACTTTTTGATTTTAAGCTCTTTCGTCTCTCTTTCATTCTCATTGTGGCTGTGCAAAGATTTACAGCCAAATAAAATGGAAATAAAACTGAAAAAACGACGACGAATAAGACGACGACGACGATGACGGCTGAAGGAAGATGCGAGCAAAAATAACGAACCTCATGAAAAAATCAAACAATTTGGAATGTGCTACACAGGAATGCGTATCTATCTTGTATTGAATGAAACTGTGCAGTTGACATACATAAAATATGTAATGAATAAATTTGAAATGTCAAGACAAAATAAGAGCTGCATGCAAAAACCAAGTGCAAAACAAAGTCCTATGTGGTACTTTTCTCTGCTTCGGCATACATAAACTCATCGGTATTGACACATAGAACAAACTTTTCGACTTTATTCGGAGAGCGAATTGCGAGCGAGAGAGTAAGAGAGAGAGAGAGAGAGAGAGAGAGAGTGCGAAGCAACGACGATACCAACGTCAGTTTCAAGGATAAAAACGACGTTAAGCAGATATTTTATTCAATAAATTTTGTATGTACGAAAAAAATAATGAAAACTTCACACACACAAAATAACAACAGCTGAAAAAATAAGCGACGTGGAAAAGACACTTTATCAAACAAAATATCGGTCGTTACAGATTGTGTTTTGAACTAGAGAAATCCGTTTTCAGTTTACGCTCTACTCTGACTCATTCACCATCGAGACAATCATTTTGAGTGTTTGCCAAATGATAATGAAAGTTGAGTGGCTCTTTCTCGCTCACTCTCGCTTTCTATGCTGTGCTGGCTCCAGATTTTTGTGCTGCAAATTTTTGCTGCCAACTCACATTTACGTCACATACATTTTTTGCTGGCGTCCAGTATCAAATGTTTATTTATGCTGAGTTTCAAGAACACACACACACACCAGCCACACATTCTATTGCACGAAATGCAGAGAAAAAAGAGAACGACACAGACAAAATAAAAACTCAATATAATGTGTATAACAAAAGGAATTCCATCGAAATCGAACCAGGAATTTAGCCATTCGAATGGAAAGCATCAAATATAAATAATTGTGTGGCCAATTCAGTTTGTTTACATTGGTCTGTTTCCACTTGGTGGCATGCATGCGATTATCGACGCCAAATGATGAGTGGGTTCAATGTTCGTAAGTGGCCCATATTGAAAACACATTTTTTCTTTTAAAACCGATCACATAAATTCACTCTTTTCCGACCCGATACCAATGACACTTGCTAATTGAAATCTCAGAATAAATGAATTTATTGATTGAGTTCGTATTTCGGTTGCTATTGGTTTTCGTTGTTCTTGTTATTGTTGTTGCAAATATGCATGCAGTTCATTGAATCGCGGCACAAGCGGTCGACGATTTTACAACGTTCGAACATTTGATTCATCATCAAGAATAAAAAATGGTGCATTTTTAAGTGGTAATTTTTCATTGGCTAAAAATGGCTTTTCTTCGAAGTGACAGAACAATTCATTAGCCAGCCAGCTAATATTTATTCTGACACATTTTGTATCTTTCAGTATTTATTCTCTCTTCCTTTGCTTCCTCGTCTGTTTTGATTCCGCAATCATCGAGAGCGAAAAAATCAATTTCAATTTCTGAAATGCCACTAAAATCGTTTCCACCAAATGGTCATCGAAAGTGAGAGTGTGGCTGTGTGTGTGTATGTGTTTGTATTTATGCTTATTTCTTTTTGTCTCTCTTGCATTTTGGTTTGCTTGCACAAGACACACACTGGGAACGTCACCATCATATTCAATCGCTGATGATAATGAGACGAAGCTTTGCTCGGGCCACGTTATGAATGTCGTTCATTTTGTGAGGGCAGCGTGCAATAATTTAATCATTTCAATTTATCCATGTTCAGCTGGGTCTCGCCTGCAATGCTTGTGTTATTCCCTGATATGCTTGAGACAATGCGCTGAACCATAAATGTGCCGCTCCTTAAATTCGAATTAAACCTTAGCGCCATGGTTTTTGCTTTCACTTTGGCGCGAATTTGCGCCACCACATATACACATCAGCTACAGCAGCAGCAACAACAGCCAAACGAACGAAGGAACAAAAGCGTCTAAATCAAAAAGAATTATCTAGAAACATGAATTATGATCATTCATTTTCACTCCTGATTAATATTCCAAAATGAATAAAGCCAAATACACGGAAATTCGAACAAAACTCAACGAACAACGGCACAACCATCTAAGTATGCAAACAAGCGTCACCGTGATGATGCAAACAAAATCCAAGTAATGAATTAAGGCTAAGAGTCCATGGCACGTTGTGTGAAGCTGGCGAGTATGAGATAACCAAATGGCACGAAATACCAGCGAATTGGGTGATTTAAAGCATATTTCTATGGTTTAGTTCGAAACAACCGTTCGTTTCGTTTGGGGCCGAATGACTTCAACAATATTCACCAACCAAAAGTTCATTCGTATAAAAGTTCATAGAGGTTGCAGGAGAGAGAGAGATAGAAAGCGAGAGACACACGATCATTCGTTGCATAAGTAGACAAACTCTGCTTTTTATCTCAGTCGTTGATTTGCTATGGAATTTCGGGCCATTATCTTTTGGTGTTGAACATTACATTTTTCGTTAGTTGTCATACATTCGATTAAGTCAGATGTTTTGGGTCGGTTGACAAGCATTTAGACGCTATTGGCCGAAATGTGTGTCATTGATTTCCATGTGTATGGTTGGTGTTTTGGGGCATACTGGAGCATGCAAGCAAAGTAGCGCGCTCACAAAATATTTTTCACAGCTCGACACTGCAAACCATCCAGGCACGTTTCAATTATTATTGTTATTATTATATAGTGTGTCTGGTGGCTTTGTCATTTATTCTAAGCAAATGCTCCACTTACACTAATCAAATGCAAAGGAATATAAACAAATGAAATAAATATATGAGAAACGAACCAACGGGCGAGCGAACAGACGAACAAACAACAACAACAAAAAATCAGACAATAAACATTAAGAATTGCCATGAAGCAGAGCCACGAAACAAAAATATTTTGCGAACCAAATGAAACGGCTCCGGTGTATATCATAACGAACGGACATATAATAATCATCTAGCATGCCATTACCGCTAAGCTCTCGGTTTTATCTATTTAATAAAGAAAATTTATGGCTGTGATACTTATTGTTGAGCGGCCACGGAAAATGGGGTGGTGTGTCGCTCTTTCTCTTTCTCTCTCTCTATCTGTGTGTGTGTGTGTCTCTAGCTCTCTATCTCTCCGGGACTCTCTGACACACCGAAAAACTTTTCAATTCGTTCGAATTGCGCAACCAGATTATTGCTTATAATATACGATCCTATTCAATTTCCACTCCAAGCGGTGTGTATGTGTGTGCTGCGCATTAATTTATTCGTGTCTTGTTTCTTATTCGTCATTGAATGGCCAGAACAGACTAGCAGCAACAGCAATAGCACAGGCTTGTATAACAGGCAATCAAATGTGTATTTCATGTGTAAACTGTCCGAAAAACAAGCAAATTCACTCATATGCGGACCATCGTAATTTTTGAATAAAAACTGGAGAGTTTCATGTGTGGTGCGACCGCCACCTCTCATTACATTACATTGTGACATTCGTCCGTTTGGACACTTTCCCATGCGCTTAGATATTAATGCGGAACATGATTTCATTTCCTTGTCCGACTTTATATTCGCATTACATGCATGAGGGATACTACGTTCATTTCAGCAGTCGTATCCCTTAATGTGCGTCAAACGAACGCCTTTCTCTTCTCTTCAATGCATGCATTACGAATGGCATAGAAAATAAAAGCGCTGCACTAACTATCAAGTCGTTGACTTTCACGAAAACGACACACACAAAAAATACAGCAACAACACCAACAACAACCGCACATTGTGCTTATTCTCAGGTTGTTTGTTGTGCAGAAAAAAATAGTCTTGTTACATTATTCTTTCTTCTATTTTTCGCTCCCCATTTTATATATATAAATAGAAGCATGCATCTTTTCAGGACGTACATTTATAGATCTGGCTGGAAATATATCTCTCAAAAGGAGAGAAAAAAAAGACAAGCTTTCCTTCCTGTAGAACCAGATTAGAGATATTACATAATAGACAAGAATGAAAAAAAAGAACAGTCTCAAAAATGAATCAACATAAGCAGCGAGAGAGAGAGAGAGAGATAGAGAGAGACGGCAACGAAAAAGAAAAAAAACAGAAAATGAACGAGAGTCACATCTCGATTTGTTCAGGTCTGAATGCAAAGTACTTCATTTCCTTTTGCAAACTTGTATATGTACTGAATGCACAAATGAAGATAAAAAGCATGTCAGATGAAAGAGTCAAAGGAGCGCGCGCGCGCACGCCGGAGTGAGTGAGTTCGTCTTTTAGTTGAAAATGTTTAATGGAATGTCATAATTTAAATCATTAAATGTTTCCTTAAACCTTGTTCCATTTGAATATTTGCCACATGACTGTATTAATGTGTTGCCCGCCGTTTTCTTTTAAATGGGAAAATGATGAAAAATCACAACACATTTGTCGAATCGGAGTTGTGTTTTTGAGATGAATCTAGATTTGTGCGCTAGCGATCACAATCTTGAACGGTGCATTTAAATGAGATAAATGATAAATATTGAGTCGGATATGGCTGCTATGGTCACAACCACACACACACACACACACATTTATACTCGGGTGCACACGTGAAAGGCGAGAAACTGTGCCATTTCGTAGATAATAAGTGGCAGAGCCGAATAAGTTCATTTTAATTCATTCGGGAACTGGTGACGATAATAAATTAGAGAAAACCGTGCAGAAATCGCTGTTCACAAAAAATGGGAGATCTTCACACGAACCGTGCAGACGAATTGAATAGTTGATGGTTAATGTGACCACTGTCACAGTATCACAGTCATTGTGGCCAAGTGTCGTGTATTCGAGGAATTCCCAGTGCAGCGCATAACATGTACTCACTCGTTCGTTTGTTTGCTTGTTACGCACATTGCAAAGCCGGAAAAAAGGTAACACCAACGAAATGACTGAGGAAAAAAACCGAATAAATGTATAAACATGCTTTGTATTTAAAGGCTTAGATGTACACAAGCACACAGTGTGTACACAGCGTACATATGCGAAATTATTGTGCCAAATAAGGAAGTTCAATGCCATTTTCACAATAAATAAACTAGTTTCTGATTGTGGCTCCTTTTTTTTGGACATATTCGTTTTCTTGTTATTGTTGCTGCTGCCGCTGCCGCTGCTGCTGTTGTCGTTGTTTCGCTTGGCTTTTGTGCATATCCCATGTGCACCGCATCCAACCGGATTGTTTGCGGAATCGCCTTCTTCGTTGATCTTGCCATCCATTCTTGCGCTACTTGTGGCAACGATGATGTGCAATGTTCGACATATCCAGTTGAAATAGACACGAAAAAAGAGAGCAAAACCGAAGAGTTCACAAAATAACACACGATTAACAACAACCATAGCACATTCTGTGTGCAATGCAGTAATAATGATTGGGGAGAGAAAAAAGATTGAGCACAAAAAAAGACGATAACAACAACAACTACTACAGCAGCAGCAGCAGCAGCCTTACCTGAGTGATACACTGCACATTTGATATATGAATGGTTTGAGTGCCGTCGATTTACATACATGCAATGCAATGCGTTTGTATGTACGCTTTATGAGGATCCGTAATTATTTCTGAACTTTAGTTTGCTTTGACTGAACGGGAAAAAGAAGAAGAAAATGAAAAAAAAAAAAAAAACAAATGAATATAGAGAAAAAAAAACTACAAACTTTTTGCAACGTTTTTCCAGCGCAATCGAAAGGGACGGTTCGATTGAATGGGAAACCAACGCCATGGTCTGCAAATCATAAAAATTAATCATAACGATTGTGCAGCACACTGCGGTTGAACTCCCATTTCGATACGAAAAACTATGATATCAATTATAAATTAAAGCTTTAATATGAGCGAGATATAATTTACATCGAAGTCACTCCGTTTGTGTGTTCACGTTTTTCTTGATTTATTCACATCTGCATCGGACATTGTTCTATTCTCGTTCATTCCAATTGCCGATCTCTTACACACAATCCAACGCTATCAAAGTTCCAATATGTTGAATGTGGAGAGCGTGCGAACGTGCGAGCAAACGAACGAACGGAATAAAAGAATGAGGATTGCGCCGAACGTCAGCATGCATTTTAATTTGCACAACCTAAAACCCAACCAAAGTGTTTCTCTCGGTTTCCTTACAATGAAATTTATAGCCTACCGTGGACGACCTTTTTTTTATTGCTACACTCACTCTCACACAATCTATATGTATATATTCAGGACTGTGGTTTGGTTTCATATCCAAGTCGAATATAGGTGATATACAATTGAAATAAAGTGACTTCAAAAGCATATGATTTTTTTTTCTGTTCGCAAATAACCAGTATGGACATTACATTGCTAGACGCTATATAGACGACTAAATTATGATTGAATACATTACTAGTTAAATGTTTATGACTTCCCCACCGTCGCTACCCATTATACATATTTCAATTGATTTGGTACCGTTAATTTTTCGTCTTGCATATAATTTTCGTGGATTTTTCACCGGAAAAAGAGAGAACCAAGAGCGCGGTGAACGGTTCTAGGCAATGCTTGATCGTTTAGTATTTATTGCTGAAGGCTAAATTATTCATTTCCATCAACAGGCGACATGTATGCGTCGATTATAAATCTATTATAACGCCAGCCATACAACAGGAAAATCGACAACAGCCCTGCAAAGACGATAACTTGTGCGAAATTCCAAGGTAACATTGGTGGTGTTGGTGTGATGGGTTTTTGCGCTTCATTTTTTTTCGGTGGCAACGTTTGAAAATTTAAATTGCGATTTTATGTGTTTTAGATTGAATTATGATAATTTCAATACGATTTTGCCACGAAGAATCGGCCATACCGTTTATAGTTGTTGTCCAGGATGGAGTAAAGTGAGCAAACATTCGCATGGGTGCACAAAACGTAAGGCCACTAGTTTTTTTGTTCATACCATTACGTACATAGTCGACGAACAACAAAATCTAACGACACAATGAATGCTAAGCAATTGGTTTTATTTTGCAGCGATTTGTAAAACACCTTGCAAAAATAATGGTAAATGTGTGAAGCCTGAGTCGTGCTCGTGCCAAAATGGATACACGGGCCGACACTGTGAACTTGATGTAAATGAATGCGAAACGGAAAAGCCATGCGATCAAATGTGCTACAACACGGATGGATCATTTTATTGCACTTGCCGTTTGGGTTTCATTTTGCATTCGGATCGACAGAGTTGCAAGAAAATCGATTCGTCTTTTGGCAACGACGATACGGGCACCGCATTTGAGGCCAGAGACTTGGAAAATGATGTGGATAGCGAGGATTTGGTCATACGTATGAATAACATTGAAAAGGTTAGTGCCAAGAAAAAAAGCAGCGAAAAGTTTTTTTGTTTTGTTAAGCCACTTGCTTTGTGGCTCATGCTTTTTCTTTTATTTTAACATTACCTTTTGCTAATGCCAAAATGTTCAACACCAATAATTACTCATCAATGTAACCACAGCTTATGATCACGGAGAAAGAGCGGAATGTGGAAACAAACAAATTAATGCATCACACATTGGCAGCAGTTAACAATCTGAAGCATCGTTTGGATGGTTTGGTTAGTATTGCATTGTACGAACGAAAAAAAAAATCTATTTGCGTCATTTGTAACGTGCCAATGGAATGATTCCAAAATCCGTTTTTTTTTGTGCTTTGTTTTTTTGTTTGTTTGGTTTTTCATCTATTTCCAGGAGAATCGACAGCATGAGCTCAGCCTGGTACGTGAACGACTGAAAACCTTTGAAATACAGGCAAACAAACTCCAATACACCGTCGATCTCCTGTACAAATGCCATCATAAACCATTAATTTATTGCCCACAATAGTACATACGATATCATCCCATATCATTAAATAATTTTATACGAGTCGAAATATTTTAGCCATTTTAGTTCCTGCATGTCAATAAATGAATAAAAATCGAAATAAATAAGCACTGATCAAGGTCATCATTTTTTCTTTTTCTTCTTCTTCTTTCCCTGACATGAAATTTCGTTGATTATTTTTATTTTCATCGTAAATAACGGAGATCCGTAAATATGAATTGAAAAAAAAAACCATTTGTTTCGTAATTTTTGAATGGGATATTTCTGCAACTTCACTTCAATCGAAGACAGTGAATGATGAAACCAACTTCACGCTGATTCATGCACGTAAAGCAAAATTCCCTTTATTATTGTTCTTGAAATCATATGTAGGCGCTTGTCGTGTTTTTTCTCTCTTTCTTCCTTTGTTTTGTATTGCCGTGTGCTTCTGCACACACACACGCACACACAGTTTCTGATCAATATTTGCGAACTAAACGTCATAATACCACTGCATTGTATTATTGTTCGTACGTTGTTCTGCGTAATCAAAATCGAATCCAATTTCATAGTTTTAGACTAAAAAAAATGATTAAAAAGCATTCCTTTCAATCAATTTCGACGAAATGTGATTTTCAAGCCAATTTGTAAAGTGAAACAGTTTCTTTTCCTCTCTACATGATCGGACAGTGATTCATCGCAGAAGTGGAGCAGTAAATAAACGAATACAATTGTTCGTAATCGGCTAGGTTGATTAGAGAAGAGTGACAGAGATAAAAGAAAAAAAACTAGTGTCCAGAATTGCATACGATTGCAAGTGATTCAGTAACTGTTTAGCTCTTCGCTCGTACAATTAGATATAAGAGAAAACGAACAATGGATTCCTGTATATCAATTAAACGAGCTGAGATTTCAATAAAGAAATTCAACGATGTTGGCCTTCCGCATCACTTGGGTTTGTTAAAAAATCACAAGTCAAATATCGAAAAGAGTTTGGCACTTGGCGACTTGGACAAGGTAAAAAAAGAGGAAATCAATGCCACCCGCGTCATAAAGCAATTGAAAAATCTCATGTTGGAAATGGATATTCTGCGCGGAAATGTGAAAGAAAGCGATCTGGACCGATTCGATGAACTAACGATGCCTGGACGTCAAAAAGCCAAAGATGCGATACAAGAATACCTTGGTACGTATTTCAAGGTCAAATTTGTAAATGAATATGATGAATCATAAGCTCATCGAAATATTTCTTCTTCTTTTTCTATTCTGTGAATAAATTTCTAATCGTTTATTTTTTCTCGTATTTTCTGCGTCGTAGATTTACAATTGAAAAAGTCAATACCAAATGCATATGCTCCAAGTTCGAATTTTGACTATCCGGAAGACGGTGATAATCGCGAGCAAGGGCTTAGCAATTTACCGCAGTTACAAACGGAATTCGAATTGAATGAACATCAGTTGCGATCGCGCGAAGCGTGCCTAAATGAATTTGAAAATTTACAGCGAGAAATCGAAGATATTCAAGAGTTATTCGTTAAACTAAATGGCAGCGTGGTTGGACAGAAAGAGGATGTGCAAGCGGTCGAAACAAATGTGATCGAAACGCATGAACACGTTGAAGCGGCCGAAAAAAGTCTTCGCCAAGCATTAACATACAAAAAAGCAATGTATCCGTAAGTGTGATGAAGAATTATTTATTCTGAATTGGATTTAGTTATGATGACGTTATGTGTTTGGTAGGTTGTGCGGTGCCGTACTAGGATTTTGTGTTGCTGGACCAGTGGGCATGGTGACATTCGGTTTGAAGGCTGGCAGTTTGGCCGCATTTGGTGGTGGACTTTTAGGTGTCACAGGTGGCACTGTGTTGAAAAACAAACAGGAACCAGAACCGGGACCAAATATCGACGAAAAGGAAGCGACTACAATCGACTGATATCCGTCGAAATGCACAATCAACTGAATAACTACTAAAAAAAACAAATCAAGCATCAAACACACCTATTCGCTCAGCCAAATTTCACACAATCACTTTTATATGAGTCAACAGCAGAAGAAAACTGCATAATTTTAATCAAATATTTTGAGATTTTTTATGGCTTTGAAACTGAATGTTGATGCTTGAGTTAATTTGTACGCAACTAAAGCTAAAAAACTAAGCAAATATTATTTATGTGATTATTGGATAGAAATTTTGTTGGTATTTAGAACTTATTATCATAAGTTGGTTTAGATATTTTATAAAAAATCCAAAATTCAACCAGAGAACCCATTGAGAATTTATTTAATGTTATTCAAAGTACGAGGTTTTACGTAGAGATTTAAATCAAGTTTGAAAATTAAAAAAGAAACAAAAGAAGATTTTCTGTCGCCTTAACTCAAATATATTTCCATTTCTTATGTATAAAAATTCCAATGAAAATGTCACACCGATGAATGACACAAAGCAAACAATAAACGGAACACTTTTAAATTGGAACGAATTTATTCAACCACGCTTGATTGAACTGTTTCTTCATGGCATGTGTCTTCTTGCGGACTTTACGCTCTGTATTTCGTTTTGTCTTCCATACGGGCAGCGAACCGAATTGATCACGCATTGTTTTCGTATTGTATTTGTGTACGACGCCAGTTGTTTCGTTTTTCACTTCAACAATTTCGCCGTCGGCCTTTTCTTCAGCAATTTCGTCGAGAATCTCTTGTTCTTCTTTCTCTTGTTTCTCCTGTGGAACAAATGAACGGGTTCGGTTAGTCTGTGCTATTGTATCAAACAAAGAAATGCGCCTCTTTTTCAATTCAATCAAAAATCAAGATACCTTTCTCAATTGCTCGGGTGTTTTGTATTCGACGACTTCCTCCATTTTCTTGATCAGCTCGTTCCCATGCTCATCGAGCAGGCCAAGGGTTTTCTTTAACCTCAAAAGTTCCTTTTTACTGTTTCGTTCCTTTTTAATGCGATCCATTTCTGCCTTACGCTTCCGTGAACGATTTGTACGACCCATTTTGCAGATGCACCGGTGCTTATTTGACTCAAACGACAGAAATTATTCACTATTTCCAATGGAAATGGATTTAAATGTGGTTTTGCGTAGTGTGGTATTTCAAAATAACAACAGGCCACAAGCAAAACACATGTGAGAAAGGAATGATATACCCTGACATTTACAGAGTACTCATCGCACATTGCGAACAGCCTGAAGTTGGTCGTGCCCATCGAATCGGGAAATACCAGCGTACATCGGACAACACACTGATTGGGACATTTCGTTGATGGTTTTTTCTTCTCTCTCTCTTTTCTTTCTTTTTCGTTTATGCATTTTAATATAATTTTTGTAATACAAATAAAAAAAAAGTCAATACATTTAAAATTAATGCATAAAAAATGCGGAAAAAATGTGCGTCCGAAATTCGCAAATTTAATCTCATTCAAATCATTTATTGCAACTATTTTTTTCTCAACTGTCGTTATGCCAAACACAAGCCAAGATAAGCAAACAAACTAAAGGTGAAAAGAGAGGGAGCGAGATGTATAGAAAAAAGTGAAACGAAAGACGAATGAAAGAAGAAAAAAATTTCCCAGGCTCAAAAACAGAAGCGTATCACAGCATTTGGTGTTGTTTATGTGAATGGTTTCAAATCTGTCAAACACAAACACCATAGTACAAAATAAAAACGCAAATTTTCAAAATGGCTTCGACAGCTGTTTTTAATACAACTTTTTTTGTTTTATTTTACCACTCGATCCGATAAGAACGACTCGATGTCCAAAATACGGTGATTTGGAAATTTAAACGACGAAGTTAAAAGAGACTCGAACTGTTGTTTTGTTTGTGATTAACAATGAGTTGCTCATCTCAGTGATGTTGAAATAAACGCGAGTAAATGCTGTATGTGTTTCGTTTTTTCTCTCACTCATTTGATCTAAGCTTTCTAAGCCATATCGAAGAGAAAGAAAAAGGAATAAACCAAAAGAAATTTTTTTTGTGTACTTACCACTGATTAGCAATCGATTCAATGCAAAACCTATGTAATGATGTTTGAGATGTGACAAATGGAGCAGAAAAACGAGCGAAAAATGAATAGAGATGCGAAAAAATAGCAAGCAGCCGCATGAGAATCAATTTCCGAGATAAAATTCATCAAAATGCAGTGAAGCTTTCCTTGAAATTTTCTTCTTTTTTTCGTACCATATTCAAATATTATGTGTGTGTGAACAGAAACAACAAATAACATTCTGAAAAAAGAAAGAAACAACAAATATTTTGGTATTTGACAGGCGGATATTGAAATGGAAAGCGCACAAAACATCGAGGAAATACCGATACAATTATAGTCAAACACACGGATCGAGTCAACAAATCAAAGAAATCAAACGCCGATCGTGACCAACCAAAAAAGACACCAATTTGCAAAATTTTCGGTTCGCCTGAACGAAAAAAAAACTCAGGTGAACAATTACTCAAACATCAACGTAAAAATCGAAGTCGTGTTTAACATCGTCAATTTTTTTTGTGACGAATTTGAAGGTGACGAGTGGTTGTATCATTTAGTCGTGACTTATTTTTGTGCTTGGTATTGTTGAATTCAAAGCGAAAAAAATAAATTGAAGAGAATACCGAAAAAAGCAATAGCAGAAAAAAAAGAATCGCAGCAGAAGAGAAAAAAGTCATACCAATCAATCTTCTTCTAGTAAACAAGAGCAACAACGATAAAACCAGTAGAACATTGATGACAACGACGACGGCTACAGCTACGACGACGTGACTACTTGTGGCTTTGAATTGTGCCGACGGGGGAATTTTCTCCATCGAATTGAAAAAAAAGAAGTAACAACAGCAGAAAAAGTGTTTGAATAATTGCGAAAAAAGAAAAGAAACAAAAAGTACGACGACGACGAAAAATTGGTGGAGCTACAGTTTTATTTACCATCTGGCTGTGGTAAATACTAATTTAAATGAGAAGAACTCTGCGGCGAAAAAGAAAGAAGAAGAAGTAGACGGGGAGTGCAAGAAAGCCGTGTGAGAAAATTCATGCTGATCTGATTTGAATTAGCCTGAATTTTATAAATGGGGGAGAGGACATTGCCAATTGGACAAAACAATGTTTTTCGATAACAATTTTCAACAAACAGGTAAATATTTATACATATGCCATAGATAACCACAAGCGTTGCGATGATAGATTGTTGATTTATATACACCACAAATGATATGAAAAACTGTTACATCATTTCATATTTGATTAACACCAATTTCAATATTTTGCCCACCAAAACAAAATGCAAAATAAGAAGGCGAAGCGAGAAAAGAAGGAAAAATAAAGAGAGATGAGTAAAGAAGCGAAGAGAGCGAGGAGAGCGTGGAGAGTTGCTTTATTATTTAGCGCCAAACAATCATCGAGTTGAAACGCGTCCGTGTACAAACACTGCGTGACTTTGACAACATTCACAATCGCACACACCACATTTCGAGTCCCTTCGAATCGGAAGTAATTTGTGTGTGACCTTGTTGTTTAGATAGAAAATTGAGCTAAATATACAAAGTTGTAAGAGAAATAAATAAACCATTGAGCTTTTCGCACATTCAACTCACTTCAAGCTATTTATTTATGTTCATTGCAAACCGACAAAAAAGAGTTTTTATTTTTTTTCGACAGTGCATGCATTTGTTGCAATCGTTTATGCACATTTTGGCAGCTAGAAGAAGAATGAGAAAGAAACAAAAACAATGCGCGAACAGAAATAGTGAGCGTTAATAAAGTTTAAGGGCAAATGGTTCATACACATGACGTCTCTCTATCTACGACGCACAAGTTTATTTCGTACACACACAACACACGAACGCACACACTTGAAACTTACATAAACGCTCACATCGAAATCGAAAACTGTTGGGCCGTAATGAAAAATCTACGACGAACCGCACAACAAATAACATAAAATATAAACGACGACATAACGCTTGGACTGAGCCAGCGCTATATAGCTGTGCTGCGAAAAAGGAAGGCGAAATCATTTTAAAGTCGTTCACGTACACATTGTGCCAGCGTCTTCATATGGTTGCTTCTTTTTGTTGTTGCTGTTGCTGTTGCTGTTGCTGTTGAAAAATGACCGAAATGAAATACAGTAAAAATAAAAAGTGTTACAGCCGCCGCCGTAGCGCATTTGGAATACATTTGATTCCAGTTTATTTACATCATATTCAGTGCGAATAGTGAAAACTAATGATAAAAGTAAGCGCGTGCGGCCGCCTGATTACTCTGCACCAATTCTTTCTGAATGGGCACACAATCGTAAAGAAGAAGAAGGAAAAGAAGACGAAAAAAACAAGCACACCATGACATCCGAATATGAATATGAATACAAAATGTAAAGAAGCATGCATTCGCGAGCAATACACAAACAGTCTCCGAGAGTACGGCAGTTTTTAGCATTAGGTCTACTTTGAAACGATGCGAGTGGCATTAATTGATGGCACACACGCATTCATGTATGAAACAGTTTTTATGTATCATTGACGATGCGGTGCATCTTTGAGTGCAAACAATGCATTTGAGCCCGTGATCGTGCGGATAAGATGTGCAAGTGAACCGAACTGCACGCAAAACGAACAAAAAAAAAACAAAACAAAGAAAGAAAAAAAAACACACACACGAAAATGCTTCATCATTTTTTGAGATTTGATGCCGGAATCGCAGTTGTGTGTAGTCGACTGTGCTGCCATGTTTTGATGCACGCAAGTGTCTCTTTCGCTAAAAAAAAAAACAAATATCCCCGTACACAGGACGAAAAAAAGCAAACAAATGCCTCGTCATAATGTTCTGATCCTGTTGGACGCTTTTATATTATTCACATGTGGTAAGCAGCTTCTGACAGACATTCCGTATGGCTGCATATTGAGCTGAGCTATTTACAAATAGCTGGCTGTTTGGCACATTTTGATTTTGTGACTATCGAGCCATGCAAATTCATGTGAGATGATAAATTTGGGACACCTTTTTCCTTCCTTTTTATGAATTTGTGTCATAAATTTATCATCTCACATGAATTTGCATGGCTCGATAGTTACAAAATCAAAATTCACCAAACAGCCAGCTATTTGTAAATAGCTCAGCTCAATATGCAGTCACACGGAATGTCTGGCTTATGATTCAGACGATGCAATATTATGTCACTTTCTCGAATGACGTAAAATAAAACGTTACACAAACCTTTTTTTCCCTTCATTTATTTCATTTCGGCGATAATCATCGTTGAGCTGTAAAAAGTATTCACACAATATCCATTGATCGTTTGACTTTCATGGGACTCATTTTGGACGTAAGATTCTACTCTATGTTCTCATAAAATTTGCTTAAGAAACGAAAATTGAATGAAATTTCCGGAGATTCACGGAATTTTTTTTTGAAAGTTTGGCTACCTGAAGTGATGAAACTTCTTCATTGTATTTGATGCACTAATTAGTAAATAGTTAGAAACGATGAATCGAATGAAATGTTACGAAAATTCGCATCAAAATTCTAATATCAAATTCTGTGCGCTTCTCGATTTGATTGAATCAATTCACACTCCGGTTTTCAAATGGAATCCGAAATTTAGAAGGAAATTGTTGTTTATAGTGCTATCGGCATGCGATCTTCGACTAACTAGGAGAAAGAGACTGAAAGATTATGCTAACCATGTTTCATTCTATTTTCGTTTCTTTTTCTCTGCTCACGGTGCTAGTGTGCGTGCGATTCTTAAACTTAGTTGTTGGTGCTGCTGCTGCTGTTTTTCTCCGTTCCGTACACACCGTGTCAAGGGAAAGTATAGGAATTGGTCCTGAAAACTTTTTTTTCGCAAAATTGGTTAAGATCATGATAAAAACTCATGAAACGCGTAAAAAACACTTTTTGAGACACTTTTCCGTTCGTGTGCCGTCGTTGCCGTTGGTGTTTGTTAACACGATAACTCAAAAAATAATTGAGATAATCCAAATCTGAAAGTCCCAAAAGTGTTGTATCCAATAAACTTAGTTTAAGTTCGAAGATGAGCCATTTTCGATTTGACCCTGGGATACTTGCCCTAAGAAAAACCTAAAAAAATTGACACCTATGTATGGGAGGTACCCGTAAATCGACTCCGATTGGCTTCAAACTTTCTGGGAATTCTTTTTTGGGAGAAAAATAAGATTCTGGAAGTTTGAAAGCAATCGGAATCAAT